TTCCCTTCTGGGCAACTTTCCAGGGTCTACATGTTGTGGGTGGGTGGAGCCAGAGGCAAAAGTGGGCAGGGCGACGAATGCAAATTTCCCCTAGCCCCCCACCCTCCGTTCTCCATTGAGACAAGCAAAAGGCATTCTCTGAGTTCAAGGGCATATTTCCAGCCTGGCAAAAACACTCAAGGCATAGCTGTCACCTTACAGATTTGAAAATAAGGGACCAGCAGCCTCAAAAACAAGGGATCAGCAGCCAAAATAAGGGATTTTCCGAGCACAGGTATGTTCAACTTCTGAGCCCCTCCGAGCCAAAGGCAGAAAGCCCAGCCAGCAGCCAAACGAAGCCTCAAGCGGTGGTTCCCACAGCGCAGCAACCCGGCAAAGGGGATGCAGCAAGGAAAACCACCGTCACCTCTCCGCTGGGAAGCGCTGAGCAAAGGCAAGTCCCCAGGCAACGTGGCCGATTTGATCAGCACAAGGCATGCAAGCTCCACCCCCCAGTCGTTCTTAGACTTCTTATTGGGTGAGCAACGCAGCCAAGCAACACAGTTGGAGCCTCCCTCCTCCCTGGCTGGCAGGGAGGGAGGGAGAGGAGCTGCTTCCTTTGAAACCTGGGAAATTTAAGGGACATCATCAATAAGGGACAGCAGCGGGACATGGCGCTGGGATAAGGGACTGTCCCACCAAATCAAGGAAGGTGCAAAGCAGGACCAGAAAGGGGCGTGGTCTGGGAAGAAAGGGGTGGCTTGTGGAGTGTCCCAAGGGCCAGCTAGAGAGGACAGCATTTGGCCCCTGGCTCTGAGTTCCTCATCCCTGTTGGTTACCTTATACTTTTGTACCCATGGTGACCAACTTTTACCAAGTTGCAATTGCTGGGTGATTCTGAGCAGCTGTGGGGCCGGGGTCCCGGAAATGTGAGTCATAGCAGAATTGGGCCCAGAGTAAGCCTGGAGTAAGGAAGCACTGTTCCCTCCCTCCCAATTACATTCTCTTTTTAGGGCTCTGTTTGTTTTCTCTGTCTCAAATTCCCCCTGGATTCTGGTTTGACTACAAAAATTTTCGAAGAATTACGTAGCTGTTTTGCTGCAGTTCTGATCGTTGTAAGCAAGTTCACTGCAAGCTCTGCAATCAGGAGTGGGCACATTTTCTTTGGCGTAGCAGAGGGGGCTCCAGTCAGGAGTGGGTGGGGCCACACATTTGTCCTCCCTCTCTTCCTCTTTTTGCTTTCTCTTTCTGTCCCCATTCCTCTCTCTCTCTCTAGCACCCCTCTGTGGCAACAGAGAACAAGTTGCATAATAATAATAATAATAATAATAATAATAATAATAATAATAATAATTTATTTATATCTCGCCCTCCCCAGCCAAAGCCGGGCTCAGAGCGGCTAACAACAATAAAAGTAACACAGCATTCTAAAATCAATTATTTTTAAAATCAATTCAAAATCAAATTAATGGCAACCATTGGGCTAGAGTTCTGTGAAGATTACCAAAGGAGGGGGTCAGACTGTGCCTTGGCCAAAGGCCTGGTGGAACAGCTCTGTCTTGCAGGCCCTGCAGAAAGATGTCAAGTCCCGCAGGGCCCTAGTCTCTTGTGACGGAGCGTTCCACCAGATTGGGGCCACAGCCGAAAAAGCCCTGGCTCTGGTTGAGGCCAGCCTAACCTCTCTGTGGCCCGGGACCTCCAAGATGTTTTTGTTTGAAGACCGTAAGGTCCTCCGTGGGACATACCAGGAGAGGCAGTCCCGGAATTACCTGATAAGAAGAGAATCTGATCTGGGTTTGTTTTAACTCATTACAGCTAGAGAAAACCACAGTTCCCTGAGTCCAGACGAAACAGGGAACGGTGGCTGTTTTGAAAGTGGAAGCTTTTGATCTCTTCCTTTTATGGAAGGTTCATCTAGCTAGAAACCACTGTTTTATCAGTGACCGCTACCTTCCCATGGCAAGGCTTCATTTCTGTGCAATTGCATTTAGAGCTTGTCACAATCCAGTCCACCACCACCCCCGCGCTCCATCCTGACTGCCTTGTGCGCTAATGACAGCCCCCTCCCCCAAATCCACCACCTCTTTCCCCCTCCACCTCAGCTGCTATGCAGATGGCCCATTTGCATCTGTCAAGGTTTTAATTATCATTCAAATTAAATTAAATTTGAAAAGGCAGCGAGCTGTTCACGCTGGAGCAAGGTGCACACTCGATGTAGGCCACTTTTTTCCTTTGTCTCCCCCTGCCAGTCTTTTAAAAAATGGTGGGGAATGTTTAAACTATAAGCCGACCCCCCCATCAGCTGATGTGTCCTGTAATGTTGGTTGATGTGGCTTTGTGAATATGTAATAAATGAGCCACGCATGATATTAGCGTGGCATCTGTTATGGTCCCAGACCAGGACTCCTCTGAGTTAGAGTCCACCAGCAATTGTACCACTGAGAGGGGATAAATCCACATCCTGGTCCACCCTGTGCTGGTCTTTGGGCACCAGAGTCCACTTCCCCTCCAACCTGAGACAACGCTGCCTTCAGACTCTGATGGCAGGTCAATGGGCCCCTTGGGGTCGCAAAAGATCCCTGAGGAGAGGTCCCTGCAGCTAGACACCCTGTTATCTTGAAGGAGTTAGCAGCTGCAGGGAAAGGCAATGTCCCTTTAGCTGGTCAGGAGGGGACTTGTGACTATCCAACGCCTGCTAAACCTCAGCTAGTGGCTCCAGGCTCTTGCTAAGACAACATGGATGCTTGGTCTCAGCGGCAGGAGTGCTGTCCATGGTCCTGAACTTAAACCTGGCTCTCCTACCAAGGTCCTTGCCATTGTGCTTACTAAGAAACCTTTGAACTTCCCTTCCTTGGGCCATTCATGGGCATCCACAGATTTTTTTTGGGGGGGCATAATGTTGAACCAATAGTTCTCAACTTGCAAGGCAGGTCTCCCCATGCGAAGACAGTTGGAAGGGAAGGGGTGAAGTTCCACTGCAGAATGATTCCCCTTTTCCCATGATGATCAGACATAGGTAGCTAGGTTTTGTATTAATGGGTAAAATAGCCTTTCCTTTCCTCCTCCCTCTTTATTTGATTTGACAGAGATGACTAACGTAGGGACAGGCAGGCGAGTCGTGTCTGCGTGTAGACTAGTAACTTTTATTTTGCAAGGCCGAGACAGCGTGCGTTTACCCAACATCAGCGCAAAACACAGAGGTCTGTATTTGGGTCGATTTTTGAACCCTCTGCGACCTCGGCCTCTCTCTGAGTGAATTGGCTTTCTGTGTCACTAGTAAAAGGGGCAGCGGGCAGGGAGGGGGGGAGAGAGAGAGGCAGGCTGTACTCAGCACTGGAGAATTTAATTTCCACTGTGCCGAAATAGAAAGTGATTGCCCTCCCGCCCCACCTAACAAACCAGAAAATCACACTCCTCTCCCTCAGTTTCCCGTAAGCTGTGGAAACGGCTTTCTGGCAGCGATGGAGCTGAGAGCTTAGATAACAGGATGGCGGTGGTGCCTGGAGACAGACCGATCCGTTGGGTCTTTTAATGCAATCAAACCAATTAGAAAGCAGAGGATTCCAGGGGAAATTATTGGGGGATTTCCTCTCCTCTGAGACACCTCCCCTTTTTATTCTTAGACATTTGCTTTGCTTACAGCGGTGGTTTAACTCCTTTTACCGCCATAGATAAATAAATCTAGGCCAGGGATCACCAACAGAGTGCACTCCAGATGTTGCTGGACTCCACTCCCCATCAGCGTGGCCAGAGGTCAGGAGGTAATGGGGAGAAACCACATGGCCTACACATGCCTACACCCCAATCTAATGTAAACCAAGGGAGTGTGTCTGTTTGCTGTGGATGGAAGTGAATTTCAGGGGCTTATGGTCTCCCAGACGCAGCCTGTTCACCCCCACTCTCCATCCTCCAGGCAGATTGCCAGTCTGGAAGAGGGAGAGTGGAGGGTTTTAGCAGCAAACTGGAAGGTTTTAGCAGCAAAACAACTGTTTTGGAACCTTAAGTTTTGCCTGTGCTGCAGACATGGAGACAACTAGATTTGTTTTGTTGGTTTGCTTCTACAAATTCCACTGGACTTCCAAAATTCCAGTTTTGTGTGAAATGTGCTGGAGGATGAGAAGCGTCCTTCAGTGGGGAGTTCTATCATGAAGCTGAATGTTGGAAGACTTGGGACAGAGGAAAGAAAGGACTTCTTTCACACAGCACAGACTGTGGAACTCTCTGCCACAAGAGGCAGTGATGGCCACCAACTTGGATGGCTTTAAAAGAGGATTGGGCAAATTCTTAGAGAAGGAGGCTACCAGTGTTTACTAGCCACAGTGGCTATGCTCTCTCCTCAGCTGTTAGAGGCAGCACACTCTCAACATTTGAAACGTGCCCGCTGGTTCCAAAAAGTTGGCAACCCTTATACTAGAATTTTGGGGTGGCGTGTGCGATGCCCAGTGAAATTCTTCGGCAGTAGTTTTTAGAGTTGACCCAAAGAAAGGTTTCCTTTTCGCCAGTTCACTGCAGTTGATGGCCTCTGGCTTAGATGGCTCTCTTTTCTTTTTGAAGCGAGGGGTGCTAGTCACATTCATGGTCTGTTGATGGGTGAGTTTTAAAAAGCTGAACTTCCATGTTCTAGGGCAGTCTACCACTGCTGGCGACTAGATCCTGGATTTCTTGTGGCTGGGGATGATCCGGCAGGGGCTTCTCTTATGCCAGTTCTCAAGCGAGGAAATGGAACGTTGTACATGGTAGACCTTTCCTGCTGTCAGGTTGTAATAAATTTGGGGGGTTACTGTTCTTGCAGTCATTGTGTGCATAAACATTTTGATGAACTCAATCAGAAAGAAAGAAAGAACTGGAAAGGCGACAGAGGGGAGGGGGGAGAGAGAGAGAGACACGTTTGGCTTGTTTATTTTTCCAAAAGCATTTATTGATCAAAGGTCAAGATGCACCCTTCACTTTTTAAATAAATAATTTGGCTCCGCCCCCTGGAAGCAACACAAGGTCTTTGCAGAAGCAGCAAAGTAGGCTTGGCCAACCCAGTGTCGTCCGGGTCGCGTCACCCAATGGCAGTTGTGTGAAGGGTGCTTGGGGAGACGTGCCCCATGGAGACCCCACCTGGGCAGCCTGCTCAGTAGTACGTCTCCTTCTCTACCCAACCCCCTGGGTACCGACGGATCAGGTACTTCCGGATCTCGTCATAGACGAAGATCAGCACGCTGAAGGGCAAGGCGCAGAGCCACCAGGTGACCCGCAGCGGGAACATCCTCAGGGCCACATCCAGCCCGGGGCAGTAGGACAGGAAGACGGCCAAGGTGGTCTCTTCCACGAGGCCAAAGATGAGGATCCTGTTGCGCATGCCCTGCTGGAAGAGGGAGAGCTTGCGTGTCTTGCAGATGATGAGGTCGGCCCACTGCACCACCACGATGCTGATGAAGAAGGCGGTGTGGCAGGTGTACTCCACCACCTTGCGCTGCGTGTAGGTCCACTCCTGCCCGTAGCTGTCTTCCAGGTCGTTCTTGGTCTTGTCGTCCCAGTCCAGGCGGAGGCCCAGCAAGGTGAGAGGGAGGAAGCCGTTCTCCGCCATGATCACAAAGTAGGAGTAGAAGCCGGCCAGGGCCTGCATCATGCCAATCTGCCCGTACGCCATGCTGATGAGGCGCTGGTTCACCAGCTTGTCCTTCTTCGGGTCCCGCGGCTTCCTCTTCATGATGTCGCTCTCGGGGCCCTCGTAGGCCAGGGAGATGGCCGGGACCATGTCCGTCCCGAGGTCGATGCAGAGGATTGTGATGGTCCCCAAAGGGAGAGGGATGTTGAGGAGGATGAACAGCAGGAAGGGGGAGATCTCGGGGATGTTGCTGGTCAGGGTGTAGGCGATCGACTTCTTCAGGTTGTCGAAGATCAGGCGGCCTTCCTCCACACCCGTCACGATGGAGGCGAAGTTGTCGTCGAGGAGGATCATGTCCGCGGCCTGCTTGGAGACGTCGGAGCCGGCGATGCCCATGGCGATGCCGATGTCGGCCTTCTTCAGGGCCGGCGAGTCGTTCACCCCGTCGCCCGTCACGGCCACGATGGCCCCCTGCCTCTGGCACCCTTCCACGATGATCAGCTTCTGCTGCGGGGAGGTCCGGGCGAAGACGATCTCGGTGTGGTTCCTGAGGATGTTGTCCAGGTCCGTAGAGGTCATGTCCTTGAGGTTGGTGCCGTGGATGACGCAGGCTTTTGCATCCCTCGGGTTGACTTCGCTGACGGGGATGTTGAGCCGTGCGGCTATGTCCTCCACGGTCTCGCTTGTCTCGGAGATGATGCCCACGCCCCTGGCGATGGCCTTGGCCGTGATCGGGTGGTCTCCGGTCACCATGATCACCTTGATGCCGGCACTCCGGCACTTGCCCACGGCATCTGGCACAGCGGCTCGGGGCGGGTCAATCATGGAGATGAGCCCCACAAAGCAGAGCTGCTTGATGGGAAAGTTGACCTTCTCTGCGTCAAACTTGAAATTCCTGGGAAACTGGCGCTCGGGGAGGTAGGAGTGACAGAAGCCCAGCACTCTCTCTCCCAGCCCGCCCAGTTCATCGTAGGCTTTCTGGAACTCCGCTTGCATCTTCTTGTCCATGTTCACCTCCTTCCCTTGGATCATAATGGTGGAGCAGCAGTCCAGGATCCTTTCGGGAGCTCCCTTCATCACCAGGATGTGGCCCTTGGGCTTGTCTTCAGCTTCGTGGATGGACAGCTGGTATTTGTTTGTGGAGTTGAAGGGGATCTCCACCACTTTGGGATTCTTCTCCCGCATCTTTGCCACGGGCCCAGCGGACAACTCTATGCATTTCAGGAGCGCGGACTCGGAAGCATCCCCAGTCGTCTCCCTCTTGGTGATGGGGACTGCCTCCTGACCCACTTTGAAGTCCGCTCTGTTGCACAGGCCCGCGATACGAGCCAGGGCTGCCCATGTTGGGGAGCGCTTGTTCAACATGGCCCCGGCCTGCTCCTCGGTGGTGTCCGCTTCGTGGATCTGGTTGTCCATCCACATGTGGGAGACGGTCATGCGGTTCTGAGTCAGGGTGCCCGTCTTGTCCGAGCAGATGGTGGAGGTGGAGCCCAGCGTCTCCACGGCCTCCAGGTTCTTCACGAGGCAGTTCTTGCGGGCCATGCGCTTGGCGGTCAGGGTGAGGCACACTGTGACTGTGGCCAGCAGCCCTTCGGGCACGTTGGCCACAATGATGCCGATCAGGAAGATGACGGCATGCAGCCAGGTGTAGCCGAGGATAATGGAGAGAGCAAAGAAGGACACACCTAGGAAGACGGCCACGGCCGTGATGATGTGGATGAAATGGGCTATTTCCCTGGCGATGGGGGTGGGGCCTTCCTCCAGGCCGGAAGCCAGGGAAGCGATGCGGCCCATCACCGTGTGGTCCCCCGTCATGATGACGATGCCGCGGGCCGTGCCTTCCACGCAGTTGGTGGAGAAGAAGCAGATGTTGCGAGTCTCCAGCGGGTTGTCGTTGGTGAAGTCCGGGGAGCGGCTCTGCGGCTCTGACTCGCCCGTCAGGGAGGAGTTGTCCACCTTGCAGCCGCTGGCGGAGATGATTCGCAAATCGGCAGGGATCCGGTCTCCGCCTTTGATCTCCACCAGGTCCCCCCTCACCACATCCTCGACAGAGATCTGCATCTTCTCCCCATTGCGGATCACGAGGGCCTGCTGGGGCACCATGTTCTTGAAGGAGTCCATGATCCTGGAGCTCTTGGCCTCCTGGTAGTAGGAAAAGCAGCCCGTCACAATGACCACGGCCGTCAGCACGATTCCCAGGTAGAGGTTGTCCTTGAGGACATAGGGCTCCATCATGACCTGGATGCCGTAGGCCAAGAAGCAGAGAATGGACCCCAGCCACAGCAGCATGGAGAAGCCGCCAAACAGCTGCCGGCAGAACTTCACCCACTCCGGGGTGGTGGGGGGAGGCGTCAAGCTGTTTGGCCCCTCCCGAGCAAGGATCTCCGCGGCATGGGCGCTGGTCAGACCCTTGCTGAGGTCCACCCCATACTTTCTGCTGATTTCCTCTAAGGTCAACTTGTGGTCCTCAAGTTCCACTTCCTTTTTCAGGTCGTCCAGCGTATGTTTCTCATGACTCTTGCCCTTTGGCTTCCCCATGATGGGTGCAAGACACTCCTCTTCTCACCCGTCTCTCAAGCTCCCACTCTCAGTATCGTGCGGCACTGCTCTGGTGGGGCGGGGGTTAAAGGAAGGAAGGGGGGATGGGCAAGTTGGGGGAAGGAGGGGACCCGGATCCCCAGGAGTGCCCCCTCCCAGGAGCTCCACCCCTCCACTGGCACAGCCAAGAAAAAGGAGGTGAACGGCAGGCGAAGGGTTGGCCCAAAGGCCACCTGTTAAAGGAACAGCCCTACCCACCTTTCCAACAGAGGGAGAAAAGGAGAAGCGAGGCCACGCCCCCTAACCACCAACCAACAAAGCTTCTGTGTCCTAGCAGCCGTGGCCCCGCCCCTTGTGACCAAGGACCCACCCACTCCCCTGGCATTGTTGCATCATGCAAGTCCCAGCTCTTAGCAACTGGGAACCAACCCGTTGATGGTGATGTCACACTGCCCTAGCAACAAGCGAAGGTCCTGTTGTTTAATAGCAACCCAGGCCCTCCCGCATCTGTTGCTGCTATAAGGCCCAGCCCACAAAGATGGTGCCAATGCCCAGTGGCATCTCCAGGCACGGCTGGGATAAACCCCTTGTCTGAAACCTTGGAGGGCTGCTGCCAGCCAGTGTAGGCAGTACTGAGCTGAATGGACATCAATGATCTAACTTGGCAGGAGCCAGTTTCCTAAGTTCCTGTTTAAACCAGCCCTTCATTCAAAACCACGAGGACTGAAATTATAGAGTCATGGGGGATCATAGAATTGTAGAACCTCTGCTTAAAAACCTCCAAAGGAGTGTCCACCATCTCCTGAAGGAGGCGTCTGTTCCACAGTCGAAGGGGTCTTACTATCAGAAGGTTATTCCTGATGTTTATTCGGAATCTGCTTTCTTGCAACTCGAAGCCATTGGTTCCTACCCTCCCAGAACAAGAGAAAACAAGCTTTATTTTTAGGGGCTCAGCGGCAGAACACCGGCTTGGCATGCAGAAGGTCCTTGGTGGAATCCCCGTGTCTCTAGGCACAGCTGGGGGAAATCCAGAGAACTGCTGCCGGTCAGAGTATACAGTATTGAGCAAGGTGGATTCAGTGGTCTGATTTGGTAACAGGCTTCTTGGGATCCTGTTCTTGGCTACCTTTACTGAACCCACAAGCAACCAGTTATGCTTCAGAAATCAACATCTCACCGTGGGAGACTCTCCCACGTCGTCCCTTTGATTGTCTTTCCCTTAACCCCCCCCCCACAAAACCCCCTTATTTTGTTCCTTCCCTCTTCGAAGCGAACAGCCCCCAAAGAATGAAGCATTCATTCCCTGACAGTGCCAGGACCCCTAAATAAACCTCCCTGTCACCCTGGCCACTCATCCCTTCCCGGCTCAATTAAAATTCAGCCTTCGCACCGTGATATGTGATGCAGCAACCCTTCTCTCTCTCCCACCTCTGCTTCCCTCTGCTTCCAGGCTGTTTGGGGAGGCAGCGAACGTTGGGGCTGGTGAATGAGAGTGTCAGGCGGGTCAAGAGCCGAGACGGACACCCCGTCCTGCAGAGCCAAGCACTTATTGTTCGGTCGCCGCTGGGCTTTCTCTTGCCGTGTGAAAAAATGTGCCGCAGTGCCATAGCAACCACAGAAGAACAGCCACAGAGGGGGACGCGCCTCTCCTGTCCAAAATAAGACCTCTTCCAGCTTTTGTCTTTAAAAAAAGAACACTTTCCTCCTTTTTAATGTTTCAAACTTCTGTCTCCCCACCACCACCAGTGGAAAGGATGCCAGAAAATTATATTGGGAAGGGTGTTTTGAAAAAGGAGTTGGTGGCAAATAGGACCTGCGTGTTGCTGTTTAGGGCAGTGTTTCCCAACCTTGTGCCTCCAGCTGTTTTTGAACTACAACTCCCATCATCCCTGACTATCAAGACCAGTGGCAAGGGATGATGGGAATTGTAGGCCAAAAACAGCTGGAGGCACAAGGTTGGGAAACACTGGTTTAGGGGTTCACAGCTCCCAAAATCTGGTCTGTTTTTTGGCTCTCAAATAGTAATCAGTTTTCAACACCCCCCCTTTTGATAGATGGTTGCTTCTGGTATAAATAAGTGAAAGCAATAAAAAAAGGGGGGGAATGGCATTATTATCCATCGTTCTCATTCCATTTACATCCCACCTCTCCTCCAGGGAGCTCTAAGTGTCATACGTGGTTCTCCCCTTTGCCGTTTCGTCCTCACAACAGCCCTGCAAGGTAGTTCAGGCTGTGACTGGCTCCTAGTCACCCAGGGAGCTTCCAAGCTTGAGTCAGGATTAGACCAGGCTGACAGTGAAGTTATAAGTCCCTTAGCCTCCCTCACAAGCTCAGAAGAGAGGTGGCCCTGCTCAGACCCAGGTTCCGGATGCTGCCCTCCAGATCTCTCTGCCTGGCCCTCTAGGTTCTCCTCTGGCCACATCCTACACCCTCCGTGGAGTGCTTTCTCCTGGATGGAAATGTGTCATTGAACGGCGGCACATGCCTCATGCTTGTCTGGATGGAAGCGCTCTCTCTCTCTCTCTCTCTCTCTCTCTCTCTCTCCTGTGTGTGTGTGTGTGTGTGTGAGAAACTGCCATCTTTTGCATGCAAAGGTAGAAATTGGGCCCTGCCCACAATGGTCATTCAGCCTCCAGAAGGTTGCCGCTGATACAGTGGGGCCCAGGCGCTCACAAAATGTTACCTACCCCTGTCGCAGAGCTCTCTTGTTCAGTTGGTGAACCTTTCAAGGGCTGGGTGGGTGTGGAGAAACAGATTCTATCAGCATAGAGATGAAAGGCATAACCCACCCAGAAAAACAAACTTATGTTTATCTGTTTTCCCCAAAGGACAGGTTGGCAATTAACAGGGTCAGGAACTTGCTTGAGGAATGCTATTTTTAGTGGCTAACCCTCATATTTCAAGCATCCCACAAACTCCCCCTCCCTTCCCTTGTTTGGAGAGTTGAAAATCGCCTCCAAATGTTTGCTTAAGCACCATAGTCTCCTTCTATCTATTCTAGGCAATCCAGGAGCTGTCCGTGGTGTTGAATGAAGGCTTTTCACGCAGCTCCCTTGACTTGGAATCTTAGAATCAGAGATTTTGAAGGGACCTCTAGAATAATGTAGCTTTATCGCCTGCAATGCAGGAATCTCAACTAAAGCATCTGTGACAGAGGGCCATCCAACCTCTGCTTAAAAACCACTAAGGAAGGAGAGCCCGCCAGCTCCCAAGGGAGTCCGTTCCACTGTAGAACAGCTCTTACTGTCAGAAAGTTCTTCCTAATGTTTAGTCGGAATCTCCTTCCTTGTAACTTGAAGCCTTCGGTTTAGGTCCTGCCTTCTGGAGCAGGAGAGAACAAGCTTGCTCCATCTTCCATGTGACAGCGCTTTAGATATTGGAAGATAACTTAACATACCTCTCTGCTGACTCTCCTCTTTTCCAGGCTCAATGTACCCAGCTCCCTCAAGGCTTAGTTTCCAGACCCTTTATCATCTTGGCTGTCCTCCTCTCCATGTGTCCCAGCTTGTAAACTTGGGGCAGTGTTAGAAACTGTCAAAACCCAGATGAAAATGGAATTGCAGGTTGCTTCTGGATCAGGCCATAGGGGGCACATCTAGTGCAGCAACCTGTCCTCACAGTGGCCAAGTAGACATCCCAATGGGAAGCCCTAAAGTAGAAGCTGATTGACAGCAACTCTCGCCAGTTCGCTAGCTTCTGGCATTCAGAGGCATCCCACTGCAGTTTTATGGGGTTGTAAGACGCGGGTGGCGCTGTGGGTTAAACCACAGAGCCTAGGACTTGCTGATCGGAAGGTTGGCGGTTCGAATCCCCGTGACGGACCGTTGCTCGGTCCCTGCTCCTGCCAACTTAGCAGTTCGAAAGCATGTTAAAGTGCAAGTAGATAAATAGGTACCTCTCTGACGGGAAGGTAAATGGCGTTGCTCTGGTTCGCCAGAAGTGGCTTAGTCATGCTGGCCACATGACCCGGAAGCTGTATGCCGGCTCCCTCGGCCAATAAAGCGAGATGAGCACCGCAACCCCAGAGTTGGCCACAATTGGACCTAATGGTCAGGGGTCCCTTTACCTTTACCTTTAAGTCATCATGACTAGTGATGTGAGGTGAGAATATTCTCAAGAATTTAACATCGCTAATCACGACCCCCTTGAATTGAGCCTTGGCAGTCATAGCAAGCCAGCACAGGGTTCGGATCTATATTTAGAGTAGGCCTCTTGAAATTAGCATACATTACAGTCACAGGCACCTTAATTTCATTGAGTCTCCTCTTGAGTAGAACATAGCTGCCAACAAGCACAGAAATTTAGATGATGGTGCGATTGAATTAGGAAACATTTTCTTAACCAGATTCCATTATTTCTTAGAAATACCACACACTCCTTGTCATTCAAACGATGTACGGGAGCAGTAAGGATTTCTTTAAAGAACAACAGAGGATTTTTATCATCTGCTTAGAGGCATTCAAAAGCCTAAATCAGCAGAATAATAAGCCAAGCAGATGCGAAGGCGATATCTTGCTAAGGACTGTTAGAAAAATCTTTCTTGGAAATGTGAGCTTGAAAGAACAATAGTCTGCTGCTGCTGATCTAACTAACGTGTGCTTGAGAACCCATTTAATATTTTTTCATTAAAGATCTCCCAGCTCACCTTTGACAAAAGGAAAAAGAAAAAGGATAAATGTTTCCTGCCTAGAGATCCATGACTGGCGCGTTCTATAAAACAAAGCGAATAATAACTCTGTCCTTGAGATCAACTTCTTCTTTCAGAGATAAGGTGGTGATTAATTGAAATTTTGTTCCCTTCAGAGATTGCTGTGTGTGTGTAAATAAATAAATGGTTGAGGCTCCCAGCCTTCTGTGGCATCTTGCCGTAAATATTTCTCCTTTGGTGATGGAAAAAGAATCTGTTCCTGGCTGTTTGAAGGTGAAGATACTAAGAGACAAGCTGATGGCCCTTTAAGGCCGGGCCGTGGAAGCACCAAGGGCCACACTGACATGTGCAGAACATTCCGGGGGCCATAGGAGGAGCGCCCTGCTTGTGGGCTTCCCAGTGGTTTCGGATTGGCTGCTGTAGAAAGCTGGATGGTGAATTAGCTCGGGATGGGGAACCGGTGGCCCTGGTGGACTACAACTCCCATCATCCCTGACAGTCGGCAACGCTGGCTGATGGGAAGTGTAGTCCAAGCATATCAGGAGGGCCACATGATCCCTGTTCCTGGACTAGATGGAGCTTGGGTCTGTTTCAGCAGGGTTATTGCTGTGTCCTTATTTGTTATTTGGAGTGTCCTTATTTGTTATTTGGACGCGGGTGGCACTGTGGGTAAAAGCCTCAGCGCCTAGGGCTTGCCGATCGAAAGGTCGGCGGTTCGAATCCCCGCAGCGGGGTGCGCTCCCGTTGTTCGGT